GTTTTGTTATCCCAGGTACACCTGATATTTCACCGAATATCTCTGGGGAGCTCTGAGTTACGTGATATGCCCTTATGTAACTTTCAGATAGCTATGCCTTATTGTCCATCTTTACCCTAGCATTTAGTTTATCTCTTGTAACTCAATCCTTTTTCACTCCCCCTTACTATGTAATCGTGAGGATATAATCAACTATAAATTTTTTTTTCTTTTTTCTATTTCGACGCCCACCATCGCATATTACCGTTATTACTCTTTGTTTTCCGTCTCAGTAGGAAAGTCGTGCTCTCTTTGCTGCACACTCCCGCAGGATTGCTCTACCTGTCACACGACTAGCTCTTCATCCGCTCTAAGTGCTTGGGGCCTCAGCCTTGCGTTCGCTCCCACCACTACGGTCGCTGCCACAGCCCACCTTAGTTCTTCTTGCCCTGTATCCTCTCTGCTCTCATCTGCCTCGTGTTCTTCATCCACTAATCATTTCTCTTCCTCCGCCGCTGCCATTTCTGGGGCATCTGGGATATGCGCTTGTCCACTAAATGCAATATTCTGCAACCCCACCAATCCTCGTCTGCCACCCTATCCAGAGCCCTGTCGTCTTCGACCTGAGGCTCGGCTGCGACCGCATTCACCAGCAAGTGTAGTTGCCGCTACCGCATCATCTGCCGTCGGACAGACTATGGCCGCATTGGCTTCTCTGTCTGGCCAAGGAGGTCCGGATAAGGCTGCAGCCTGTTCTAGTCTTTCCGAGCTTTATCATCTGCAGCAACAGCACCCACACTACAACTCGCACCATCAACTTCAACAGAATCATTTGTATTGTCAACAACAGCAACATCCCCTTCAATTGCAGAAAAAATGGGCCCAGGTAAGGTAGCTAGTCCATAGATGAATTTTTGTCTCTTCATATGTATTATAATTCTGTGAAATTGTCCTCATATTTCTTTTCTATGTCTATTGTCGTATTTATTTATACAGTTACAGTAAGTATATAGTTAGACAAGCATGTAGAATAACTGGGTTCCGATAGTTAGAAAAGCCCTCGTTGCCTAGACACTGCAGCTATTTTACTTTGTGCTTGTAAGTGCGATATACGAAGATTAACCTGTTTACGACTAATCTCCTGTTTCTTTGTTAAGCCGACTATCATTTCGAGTGAATTTGTTTGAAGAGATTCACAAGTCACTCTCCTCCGCAGATTACAACGTGTTCTGCTTGGCCTGTTGTAATTTGCTTTTATTCTAATGTTCATACTGATGAAGTCTTTGAAAGGCTCTCATTCAGTTAACTTAAAGTGTGCTGAGCTTTCCTCTGTCTCTGGACATGCATTAATAGAACTTTGCCTCATTGTTATAACGAATTCAAGCTTTCGCGTAGTCAAGGACACTAACCGTCTTGTTCCTGTATGGACAGGAATTATACTAGCTTCATCATATAGGTCTGTTGATCGATCTACAAACTTCTTCATCATATAATGCGCGAGATTAAAATCACTTCAACCATAAGATTGTATGATCCCCTTAAACTGTAAGCTGGTATGAACTTGTTTTCGCAACTTGTTCGGGTCGTCAACGGGACCTAGTTGAATGTATCCAGTCCTATGTACTCTGCTACAGTAGCAATTGTAGCTTACAGGATCGGACTGTTGACTTGGTACATTGCCAGAAATTTCGCTTGCACCATGGGTCTCATTTCCGTAAGTCTCACGTCAACACCAGGGTAAGAAGACAATCCCACTCTATCTTGCCTCTTATATCGACTCAATTAAGCAAAAGAAAATAAGGTATGAATACCAAGATGGTGTGGCCCTTTGTGTGGTCACAGTCTCCTTTCATCGTATAGAGCAGTGATTCCCAAACTGGCGAGTCGCGGCCTATACAGGGGCGCCGCGAAATATTGTAAAAGCTTTAATTTGAGAAAATGTGCAGTGATTTCCAGGCTCATCCATCACATTAATTATTAAATATTAATTTAATGTTAATAAAGTAAAA